GACTAACAAGGAAATCTCACTAGCTGACTCTCAACAGATAATGATGATTTTTGATGTATAATAACATTTTATTTTTTTTAACCTTAAGGAGCAAAATTTCTATAAAACATATTTTTCATGCTGTTTTTCATTATTCTGCATTAATTTAGGTCAAAGTAAATGAAAAATATTACATTTAGTAGGGAAGAGTGGGGTCAATTGTAACATGGTACGATTGTAACAGAGCAAAAATTTCGAGTGTCGGGTACTAGATTTGGTTCCTAGGTGGCGCACAAAGTGTATTTAATAAATCTACATGTACCCATTTTTATGTACTTTTGAAAGAGTTACATCACATACACGTTTTATTTTCGATNTACTATTTCTCTTACACGGCGAATCGACCAATGATTGCCGCTAAAAATGTCACATGCCAAATCTACTGAAGTGGCCCAACACAAAGCGCTTTTAAAAACGGAAACTGAAATAACCAGAGAGCATCAGCAATCTCATACTATTAAGCTAGGCAGAAGTGTGTAGTCTTTGTCGATACGGCCAAGTCCTGGGCTATATGGTTAAGGGTTTTCATAACCTAGGTACATGCTCAGGGCTTGGAGGAAAAAAAAGTCTTTGTCGATAGATGTCTATTTTAGTATTTTGTCGAAAACGCTTTTTTTCACGAATTTATATATTACGAATTTATTTGACGATTTTTGATTTATATTACGAATTATACTATAGCACATTTCCAATAGGTTTAACGAGTTATATGTCATTTATTTGAATTCAAATATATTTTAATGACTTTGTATTAACTAAAAATATGTAATTTTTAAAAAAAAAAATTTATATGAATTTGAATGATTGTTTTGAATTCTTAGAATTTTGTACATTTGCAATGTACCTAAGTTAGCAGGGAGCGAAGCAAACCATATAAGATTGCGTAGCTATTTTCGGGGGTTGGCGAGCGTTAGCGAGCAGGGGGCACAGCCCACTAGTTTTATTTAAGAAAGGATACGTAGAGGTACCATTCACTAAATCAATGAACAAAACATTTAGATGAACGCTTGTTTTTTTATGAAATTTGTTTTATTTTTTTACTTTCTTGTTTACTGACTTGCAACTTTAATACATCATAAAAAATACGATAAATCTCAAAAGGAATATTTATACATTTTCAAAAAATTTCATTTCCCAATAACCGTTTTAAATTAGTAAGCTAGAACAGTTTAAAAATTTCTCAACAGAAAGTGTTTACTTTAATTGAATTACTAATATTTTATAGATGTCTTCAGATCCCTTGGCAATAGCAGAAAAATAAAATTAGTAAAAAATATTCGTAATAGTGTTAATAAAAAATATTTATTGAAATGTTTGCGTACCCGAAAATGGGTTTATAATTTATGATTATGATATACCGCGTGAAACACCGGGGTCTTTTTTTCTAAGGTGAAATTTTCTGAACGCGGCTCATTTCTAAACAATATTTTTTCAAATATGCACTTATTTGCAGTTACCTAAGAGATCTGAGAAAAGCAGTTATTCATCATTGAAACCTCCATTATTTACAAAATCAATTATTGATAAATGATTATTGATTGATTTTTAACTATGAATAAGAAGAAAAAAAATTTCAAACTTTTTTTGGATTTTATATTTTAGTACAAATATAGTTCCGATAATCGAACAGTTTCTTCAGTAACTTTTAGACTGTTTTAAAAATCCCCAAAATATATATATTTTGCTAGTAATAAGAGCACCAAAAAAATATAAGATGGACACTGGTCTCTTTTGTGGGTCAAAGGGTATATCCAATTTACAATAATTCTTTTTTTTCTTTCTTATTTTTCTACTGGTTGTAAAATTTAAAACTGATCAAACACGAACTCAAATAGATTTTGAAACGAGAAAGCATATCGTATCATGATATTAACTAGGCTTGAAAGATTTAAAAAACAACTTTATTGAAAATAATTCCGAAATTACAAAAAAAAAAGAAAGAAAAAATTGCTCTATTTGTTTTATAAGTGAAATATGGAGGGAAATATGGTGACAGAGTAATTCGATGTTTAAAGTGATACTTTGTAACTGAGTAAGGTAATTAAAGTCTGATTTTTCATGCTTATCAGCAATCAAGAGTTTGTTAACAATGTTTTTCGAAGCTCTTTCGCCAAGAAAAATAAATAAATAAAACCGCAAATTAAGTGCCTTACACTTGAAGCTGAGCTATAATTTTTAACTTTATATACTATTTTGCCTTTAAAAATTTACCTGACTTTAGAACAAACTAATAAATCTAAAATATTTAAAAGACAATAAATTCTTTTAAAAGTCGCCAATTTGGCGACAGTTTCTTCTCTAGATAAAAATGATAAAATTCAATGCCTAATTTCTTTTTTTGCACATTTTTATGAGCTTAGATAATGCAGTATTTTGCCGTGTAATAGTAAAATTCAAAATTGAGATTTTTATATATTTGTCATCTGTGTATCATAAGCTACACACTGCGAAATGTTTTTTTCAAAAATGAACTTTCTTATATCAGTTTTCTGAAACGCAATTTTAGCTGTCATAGCATTCGAAATAGAAAGAAAATAGTTGCCAAGTCACTTTTCTCGAGATCTATCATAAAATACTTANTTTGATAAAAAAAATCTCATTATAAAAATTTGATTGGTTAACACTAAGTTAACTTGTTTGTTTACCACCAGCCTCGACTTGTAAAAAAAAGGCTCTGCCTCCACTTGTAAAAAAAAAAGGTTTGATGAAAACCTCGATCTTATGCACAAATAAATAAGTTTGTTTATTTCATGAAACAGAACTTGACAAATGAAAATTCGATAAACACAACTTCCCTATCACCTCAATATGGATAGTAGTGAAGTGCTACTTTATGTTTATCCTGATAAGGTAATAGGAGGAAAAAAGTCTACTTATATCTAAGTAGCAGGATGATAGAGTGTGCAAACTCTGCAATGCAAGAATCACGTACAGAGGTTACATAAGTATTTTACTTGTGATTTACGTGAGCAGTTATGAGGTTGCCCATCTTCATCACACACTACGCTAATATCTTCCCCTCAGTATGAGTAAGACACGTACATTAAAATACTTTTATATCTATTTTTTATTTGGTAAACAAGATACATTTCTTTGTAAACCATTAGAAATAACTATCTGCTTTAATTACTATTTTACTATACAAAAACAGATGTAAGATATATTTATATATCGATTTTTGTTTATCGCTTGGGTTTAATTTCTTTGTATACTATTTTAATAAATGCAAATTCAGTTGTTTAGTGAGGTTATGCAATAATAAATTACCTTTTTTTAATTTATTTTTGTCTGCAACATATATAAAATTCTTTGCATACCATTCAAAATGAATATATCTTCTGTAATATAGCGGGTTTTCTGACAGTTTTAATTACTATTTTACTATGCAAATTTGAATAAAGTACCCGTTATATTGATTTTTTATTGGTACACAAGATAAATTTCTTTTTAAACCATTCGAAATAAAGGAAGATTTTAGCATTTAGTCAGATTTTTTGAACGTTTTTCATATTTATTTTATCACAAATTATTACAATGTTTAACTATGCTTATCTTTTCCCCAACAATTCTCTTTAATGTTACCAGAGATGTTTGCATGCCGGAAAAGCTAAGAAACTGCAAAATGATTTTGTTTTAAGCTTGTTTTTGCAAAGAACAAATGTCCCTAACTACCAAGAAATACTGACAGTTATTTTATAACTTAGCAGTTTTGTATATTCATTGTGATTTTTAATACTTTGGGTGACCAAGATTTTTCTTTTTTCTAGAAAACAAGCTAGATATGAGGCGGTTTTACTACCAGTTTCATATCTTTTCCGGTATGCAAACAAACTTTTACTTCAATATTTCTAATTTGTAAACTTATTACTAAGCATTACTTGAGCATAATGAAAACTCTTGTTTGATAAAGTAATTTTCATTAGGAAAAAGTATTTTTTTCTTCCGATAAAGATTATAATTTTTTATTCGCTAGGTATTCAAATGTGCATAAGAGCACTTATAAATAAATTATTTAGGAGTGAATAACACGTAGTTTATAAATTATATGCTAATGCGATTTGGATCGTAGTTCATTGAGGAACATGAAACGTGATTTTTTGCCCTATTTATTTCAACCTATTTATTCGGAGAAGTCTGTTTTTATATGATTGAGAGTAACACCGAGATGTACATGACATTTAGTTAAATTGATGTTTTTTGAAGTCAAAAGGATTGGTATCGTCTTTAATTATTAAGGACCAATACTTGTGGTTTTTAGGGTGCTCTGATATCAATCAGTTAAATTGATGTTTTTTGAAGTTAAAAGGATTGGGATCGTCTTGAATTATTAAAGACCAATACTTGTGATTTTTTGGGTGCTCTGATATCAATCAGTTAAGAGAACACCATACCATGAAAGAAACTTTTCCTCGCAAATTCTATAACTTCCATAACTAATTTAAAGTATAGAGAAAATAAGTTCAAGAAGATCTAGATTAAACCCTTAAATTTAAATTGCTGAAAAAGTTAAAAAAATGCAAATCAAATTGTTGGAAGAGAACTTCTCCATTGTGTAATCCTTCACTACCTTCTCATAATTTATTTTTATTTTGATATTATGAACATTTCTCTTCAGTATTTGAAACTTTGTGGCTTACTCCAGATTTGCATGAACTCTTTTTTTTCTTATATACTTAAAATGTTTTAATCAGTTATGGAGGTGAATGAGAATTAGTGACGTAAAGTTTCTCCCGTAGTACGGTGTTCTCTTAAAGCTGGACAAAACAATCTGTTTTTTTATTATGGAGAGAAATATCGTGTAAGATTTTACTGTTGGTCGAAACTGAAGATATTTGCATCGTCTAAAGTTTGATTTTTGTGCAATAGAAATGTTCCGTCCACAACAAGAAAGCTGGTCAAGTCTGTTATTATAAAGAGAAAAATTATGCTTTGACTAGTAAATAAATAAGAGGTGTACTTACATTTTGCAACCTTAAAAAGTGGTCGACATCTACCCTCGCCACAAAACATTTTAGGATTTCCGTTACAGAAACAGTCAACATCTGTTTTACATGTCCTGTTCTGAAGGCGGAGGCACGAATTCTGTTGGATAAGCAAAATCATTTGTTAATAAACTAATAATTATAACTAAAGATTTTAATATTATTTTAGTAACATTAATATTTCGGAGAAATTTGTGTTAATTTGTATGAATAATTATAAACGAATAATTATAACTACAGATTTTAATATTATTTTAGAAACATTAGTATTATTTTGGAGAAATTTGTGTTAATTTGTACGAATAATTATAAACGAATAATTATATCTACAGATTTTAATATTATTTTAGAAGCATTAATATTATTTTGGAGAAATTTGTGTTGATTTGTACGAATAATTATAAACGAATAATTATAACTGCAGATTTTAATATTATTTTAGAAACATTAATATTATTTTGGAGAAATTTGTGTTAATTTGTACAAATAATTATAACTACAGATTTTAATATTATTTTAGAAACATTAATATTATTTTGGAGAATTTTGTGTTAATTTGTACTGTCGCTGAAAAAACTTTCTTACTTGTAAACGCATTCATGTAAAAATCTGTAAGAATGTATGAGGGTTGCCAAATTTTCCTCTTTCAGCAAAAGACTGTATATGGCGGTGAAGAAATCAGGTCTAAAACTTTCTGAAATTTTGTTTATTTTACTTCTACTATAGAATGCTCACCACGAGATATTATTCAAGCAGGAAAAGTAAGCATGGTAGCAGTACAGAAGATTTCACTTATTACTTATAAAGGATTTAAACTGAGTCCAGGAGGTCCTCAGTTTAAAGGATTTAAACTGAGTCCACTATTACCCAATTTAAAAAATAGAGGTGTTCTTAAAAGTTGATAATAATAGGCGAATCTGACTAATAAATACTTAAGTCAGAGAGATGACTTGAGAAAAAAAATAATACCAAAGATAAGTTCCTAAATTTTTAAAATAAAAACTTATGACAACGTGAAATAACTTTTTTTTAAACTAGAATATTCTAATTTGGCAAAGTATAGTTTTCATACAATAATTTTATGTCAGTATTAAAATATTTCGTCTTCAATTCCTTCTTTATGTCTTAAAATCTATTCTACTTCTTTTCTTTAAATTATTGGATGTTTTTATTTTTTATTATAACACGAGATTATTTTTTAAACGAAACGGTGCAAATCGAACGTTTTAATAGGAATCGCCTTCCTGGAGCTTTTTAAATCTTCATTTCTTCCGCGTTGTTCTTAAATCTTCTATTTTTTGGCGTTGGTAGAAAATCAGAAACAATAACATAAAAATCACGGTGTTCGGAAGAACGTTTTTTTAAACTGATTCCTAATCTTCTGTTCGTATTCTTTATCGTAAATAGAAATTACGCCAGAAAAGAATTATATCATTTTTTCAAAGTAAGAAAAAAAAGATCTGAGGAAGAGAAAAGGAGAAATACTAATTTGTACAGAAAGAAAAACAAGCATATCAGGAGGGAAAAAAGAAAAAAATTCTTTTGGAAATTTTTTTTTTCTCTTTTTTTTTTGCACCGTCTATTTAACAGAAATCGATAAACATTAAAAGTCGTTCGGCCTAGCGAAAAGTCTAAATTATTTCTTAAAATAAATTGAAGTTTTAGAATAAAAGGGGAAATGGAAAATATATTGCATTTGTTTTAAAATAGCGGAAAAGAAAACTATATATCTTTCGAAGCAACGGTGCNGAGTTAGATTAACTTTGTTTAAATTATATGCTGTTTTCATATTAGGAAACAATCAAATATGTGAGCAGTAAAAAATTCAATAAGTATATATATTTATAATTTTTTTTGTTAACAGAAAATACGGATAAAAAAGAACTGAAAATAAACAGAAAATATGGTTATATAGTAACAGAATATATGTAATAGTAAACAGAATACATATAATAGTAACAGATAATATGTAAAAAGAGTTAGACTTAGTTCCAAAACAGAATTCGATTGTTTTTATTTATATATTCTGTCAGTTTTTTAATGAAAAAATAAATTTAAATTAAATGATATTTTGATTTACTTTTTTAGTTCAAAAATAAGAAGAATAAAAAGATTGAGGAAAAAAACGAATAAGAAGAATTTAAAAAGAAAAAACGATGATTAAAATTAATTGGATTGTGCTTTGAAACCCTATCTAATAAAAAGAATTTAAAATGAAAAAAACTATAATTAAAATTAATTGGATTGTACTTTGAAACACTGCTAATTCTTCTTATTCATATTTTATGTTATACTTAGATTTTAAAATGATAAAAAATAAGAAAAAAGTAGTAGAAGAATTAGAAAAAAAGAAACTATGAATAAAATGGATTAGATTGTATTTTAAACCATTATCTAATTCTTCTTGTTGTATTTTTTGCTATTTTTTATCATTTTAGAAGTCTAAGCCTAAGAAGAAAGTATAATGAGAATTTGAAATAAAATGAATTAGATAGTGTTTTGAAACACTAATTCTTTTTATTCATATTTTATAGCATCTTTTAACTCAAGAAATAAATTAAATTTGATGTATGCATCTAGATTTATTTTTTAGTTAAAAAAATAACATGAATAAGAAATATTAGAAAGAAAAAAAAACGAATAAAAAGAATTAGATTGAGTTCCAAAACAATCATCAAAAACAATGGTTTCAAGTGTTGCCAGTCGCAGGAAGCGCAATAAATTGGATAAAGCTACGCTCCAGACTCGCAATTAGGATCTAGATCCAATTGACACCACGCCTCAAATAATTACAGGCTTCGCCTAGAATAAAATTGGAAAAAGACGTTCTTTGTGTCCTGTCTCAAAGGAGAAATAAATGTTCTTTTGTTGAAATAATGTTTTAGGTACAAAAAAAAGTTGCATCACTGTTTATATCGTTACTCGAATAGATTGCTACGTTTGAGTTAATAAATAACTTAATAGTTAACTCTATAGAAAAACTGCGAAAACTTAATGTATAACTTTACATAATATGTTAAGGCTATTAACCTAGTACTTATGTGGTTAAATTATATTTAACCTTAATGTTAACTCATAAAAATATCTCAGTTTATTGGTTCATCGGCATTGTCACTTTTATCTCGGTGTTTTTCATGTCCAGCTCACTTTTTTTTCTGTATATGAGTAAAGAGCCTCGATGGTTCAGGGGATAGCGCGTTCTCCTTCCAATGAGGTGAACCGGGTTCGAATCCCAGCGATGGCTGATCGATACGAATTCCGCATAGCACCGACCACAGTGATGACCTGAAATATCCTCAGTGGTAAACGGATCATGGGTTAGAGTCTCCTTGCCAACAGGCTAACCGTTGGCGGTTCTCGTGGTCTTCCTCTCCAAGTAACGCAAATGCGGGTTGCTTTCATCACAAAGTTCCCCGCGAAGGCAAATTTCTTCCAATACTTGATCCAGGAGTTCCCTTGTTTTCTGGATTGAGTTAAAAAATACAAACACTCTAACTCCTAAATTCTATTTTCTGAATAACTACTGTAGTTAATTCTAAGATTTCACTAAATTCTTTGAGGCCTTCTGGTGTTGTCATGCATTGCCACCAAGCCTACGTTTTTGAATCCTCTTTTTCTTTTGCTGAGAGGTCACGAACGCGAAGTTAACCCAAAGTATAAAACGCAGTACTACAGTAATTTTCAACTATATTTAAACGGATTGCAAATTTCCATTCGTTTGATCCTATCTCGGTCTTATTTTCAACGCATAGCTCACTTGGAAACACCATGTCATTCACATTCTTAGTAAATATGCCGGTGCATACAACAGTATGAATGCTTTTCCTTTATCTAAACTTCACATTTTCCAAAAATCGCTTATATTACATTTCCATGATTTGACCAGTTCTTTCGTATGCATGCTCTGCATGGTGTACCAAGATTCCAACAGTTCAAAAAATAACAGTAAGATTATCCAGTTAATTTGGAAACATAATGATTGATATAAACCTAAAAATTTATTTATCCCATAAGTATTTGGTTAAACACTTCATCGACAAAGCAATAAAGTGTAACGTAGCTAATTTCAATAAATTTTTTGAGTATGAAAATTTTCAGGAAAAGATAATATTCGGAGCATGATACTTTTGCAGTGACACCATTCCTTCAACTTCATACTACTTTTCATTGTTTCATCCAATAATGCAGAAATTCAAGATGGATATAATATTTTCTACCATATAATTTTTTTTATTAGAATTAATCTAAATTAGACTTTTTTAATAAAACCTCACTAAATACCTTATGCATTCTACAACTAACAAAATTTGGAAACCGTTTCCGCAGACAATAGACAAGACTCAATTGTCTCTTACTACTCAGAAAGAAAAAAAACAAGCTTTTCGGATTTGAGGGATTTACGTTTTGCTTTTTAGATTGCACCATATTTTAAGGAATTCTTCCTTATGTAACCATGACGATGTTCCCAAAAATAGGAACGGCAAATCCAATTAAGAGTGGACTTGAAGCCCCCAATTTTTCTTGGAACGTTTTTGTTTTGTTTTTATCATACGATATCTGCACCGTTGCTTCGAAAGAAAAAACATTTTCAGAATATTTCCCTATCTTCCATAATCCGTTGAAAATATATTTGTGTTAAGAAAAAGATAAAAGTTTCTTTAATAAGTAAATCTGAGCAAAGTATAAATAACACAGGCGGACAAGCTTTTTTTTTGTTGCATAAAAGGATCTTAAATATTATCACGCTGCTGATTTCAAATCTGCAATCAGTTCCTTTCTACAAACTACAGATTTTATGCATTTTTACAATACATTCCTAACCAGGACTAAGTTCACTCAAGTGAATACTAAGTGTCCTCACTTCTCTACTACGTAGGAAGTGGTAGAATGAAGGTGATAATACATTTCAGTTCGCGATGCGATACGTTAAGGTCATATGTTTTTTTTCTGTCAAAGCAGACAAGTTTGTATAACAGTAATAACAGTGTATTTTGTAAGGCTGTGTATATGTATATAAATATATATAGAACAATAATATAACAGTTATAACATAAGAAAGACAAAAAATGAAAAATAAAAAAGGAGATTAATGAAAAAAAT